ATCTATCTATCTATCTATCTATCTATCTATCTATCTATCAATCAATCAATCAAATTTGTCACCGCCCATCTCACTGCAGAGCGGCTCCGGGCAGTTTACATTAAAAGAATAAATATTAATTATAATATAAATATTAATTAAAAGCACATTACAAAAGGTTCCTATATAAATAATAAATATCATCAAGGAAGCTGATGTTAGTATGTCTGAACGGTACCCAAGTTAGGGAAGGGAGGCGCTGGTGTGTGTCCAGGAGACTCAGCTCTGCACGGTAACAGAGTGATACCTTTACCTGGCTGGCAGGGGAACTCCCACTCCTGCCCAGGGCTGATGTGGGCACAGGGGGGTCTTTAGCTAATCATTACACATTACGAGAACCTCCTTGGAACCAAGTCTACCCCCTTTGCGCATCTAAAAGTACAAGTAGAAACGAACAAACCACATTTGTAGAGCAAGGCAGTCTGTGCATGGCTGGGTGCACCCACACGGTGTTCCCCTGACTTCACATTGTGTTCTGGGGTGGAGACTTGGAGGAAGAGCCCTGCAAACGCCTGAAAGTCCACTCTGCAGTGGGATCAAGGCCAAGCCTGCCCCTTGAGTCTAGCCCCTGGGCATGAGCGCACAAGAGCATGGCAGGAAAGCAAAGGGTTTTTTTCTGCTCTTTGTTCCCCCTTGTACCGTTTGATATAGACTGCCTTGGAATACGGAGGATTCATTTGGCTTTACGAACAGCCACAGATCAACTGTGATTAATCCCCCTTTTATGCCCTTTAGCTGAAAAGCTGGTTGTCACGCCTTGTTCCCATTTATTCTGTAAAAGCTTTCTCACAGAGAAATGATTCATTCTTCCAAAGCCAGGCGCGTAACTCTGAAAAAGAGGGGTGCTCTTTCCACACGTTTAGAAGCACTTTTGCAAGGTCGTATTTCTCGGAAATACTTTAGGCTGCTTTTCAGGTAACCTCATGGAATAAGATTAATATCCAAATTTATAAAAGCCCATCATCATCGTCATCATCAGAAAACCTGCTACTTAATTCTTAATTTTTCCTTTCAACCCTGAGATTGCTAAAGTTTCCCTGGCGTTCACCAATTGTCCAGGGTCCAAGCAACAAATATTCTCTGTAGTTCTTCAAGGGAGGATGGGAGGGAAATGCAGGTCTTGAATTTTGCAATAATCCGTGGCTCGAAAAAAACATGGGCCCCTTACCTGGGTCCAATGCTCCACAGCCAGGTGGATGGATTTGATTATGACATCGAGGCAGCCCTGAGAACTCTGACATGCCACTAACCCTAACCCTAGCCCAACCTTTGCTTCCCTAGAGCGTCACAGGGAATACCACGGCTTGCACAATTCTGATCTCTGTCGGTATAGACACGTGACGGCATTTGAATACCTCTTCCGATACCTCAGGTTACGGCATCGGTTCAGTTCTCCAACTTTGCAGAACGGCAGTGCCCTAAAAGGAGAAAATAAGTGTGCCCCCCCCCCATCAGTAACACGAATGGTTTGACTGGCGTTAAGGCTTGGCAAGAAATACATGTCCTGCTTATTTTTAATAATTGCTGTTTCTCTGCCCTTGGGGTGTCGCCTGACAGGGTCCCCGGGGCTCCCGAAGAGGGAGGGCGTCTGCTCCGTGGGTGATGCGCTGCCGGGAGCAGAGAAAACCTTGGCTGGCAGGGAGGAAGATGGAGGAAAGAGGCGGCGGCGGCGTCCTCCAGGAAGCAACCTGGCCTCGGGTGTGGGTTTCTGCCGACACGCCCCTCCGCCCGGAGGTCAGCCCCCGCCCCTCCGCCGCCTAGGGCATAAATACAGGTGCGCTCACCTGGCGCGCAGGTGAAGGCAGGCGCTCGCGCTCCGGCTCCTCGCGCCATGGCCAACTCGGGCTTGCAGCTGCTGGGCTTCACGCTGTGCCTGCTGGGCGTGATCGCCAACCTGACGTCCACCATCCTGCCCCAGTGGCGGGTCTCCTCCTTCGCCGAGGGCAGCATCATCACGGCGCAGTCCTACCAGCTGGGCCTCTGGATGGAGTGCGTCTGGCAGAGCACGGGCCAGCTGCAGTGCAAGATCTTCGACTCCATGTTCAGCCTCAGCCGTGAGT